TTGGGCCCCTGGGGCTCTTCCTTTTCCCTGTGTGGTCACATTGAATAAATACCCTTTATGTTTTTCAGTTTTATGTCTGTCTAATTGACCTACTGAGGATGGGTGGCTGAGCCAGGGCTGCCAGGGTCTGATCCTAACAACTGGGTAACAGAACCAAGGACGGGGACAGAGCTGAGACAAGGCAGGGAAGATGGAGTTCTGCTGGGGCATGAGGGCATGAGGTGTCTAAAGCACTCAGGCACAGGAACGCTTATTCCATTTGTGGCGTTCCAAGATGAGAGAGAGAGAGAGAGAGAGAGAGAGAGAGAGAGAGAGAGAGAGAGAGAGAGAGATTGCCTGAAACCCCTACAGAAGAAATCCCCCAGTTAAAATTACAGCTAGGGCCAGAGACAGGGTTAACTCTGAAGTGACGCACAGACAACCTTTTACTTTCTCCAGAGATTACCCCGGAAATGCAATGTCTTGTTTTGAAATGAATCGTTTTGTCTCATTTTACAACCTCGGTGAGTTTCCGAAGAGACCAGATAGTCAAGGGGGACACAGAGCCCCAGAGTCACGCCCCAGATGCTGCGAGGGCTGTCAATGGTTACAGTCACCAGCCCCACACTGGGAGAGTCCGTCACGGCTCTCAGGCCAGGTGCAGCAGGTATGGACCCTTGGGATTCTTTTGCCGTTATGTACCTGGGTTTGCCTTGTTCTTCTGAACTGCATCACCAGCATTTGTGTGTGTCGTGCAGAAAAGCACTGTGTCATCACTGACCAGTGGACTAACTGAATTTACCTGGCCTTTGACTCACTCCTAAACTCATTATCACAGCCTGCAATTCCCGGACAGTTACTCATTAGGACCTGAGCGGGAAGCCCGTTTCCATGGGTGGGACCAAGCTCGGCTTGTCTACTCCCACATAGCCTAACGATGTCAGCATGTTCTACTTCTTCATTTCATTTCCCTGGGGTGTGAATTCCTTGAATTCCTTGACCCCTGACTCCTGATTAGCTTGTGGGGCTTAAAGAACACCTTGATGGCAGGTTCACTCATTCCTGTAACCAGCTGAAGGGCGCTCACTCTACTGTCATAATATTAGAAATGAAAGAGACTTTGGGAGATTGTCAAATCAATTATTTCATTGTACAGAGAAGAACATTCCAGAGTTAGTGAAGGTAAGTGACTTTCCACGTTCCCACAGCTCAAAGTCAGGACTAGAATTTGAACCTTACGCTTCTCCATGATTATAACTCATGGCATCAAATGGATGTGATGCACCCATCAAACTGCCTTCCAAATGTTTATATGTATGCCCATAGATTAGGGATGCCCTCAGCTTTTGTCAGAGAAGCTTCTTTTCACGGTGGGTGAGGGGTGGCTGCAGAGACTCATGACTGGTCAAAATGCTGAGACTCAGGAACTCTTAGAGTGCTCAGCCCTAAATGGAACATCTGCATCACTCACTTCAAGGACCAGGGAACATCATGGGGGAGAGAGGCAGAACTGTAAGAGGTCGAGACCAGAGGGGACCTTTGGAGCATGCCTTCTAGTCATGACGCAGCCGTGGTACCCATGAACTCGCAGTAGCAAGAGTTACCTGCCCGGGACTGGTCCTGTCCACATTCCGCTATGGATGGGGCGGGACTCACAAGGCCCCAACCGCTCCTGGAGGAGCTGTTGGTAACTAATGGTTGCTGGGGGAGAGGGACATGTTTTCTTCAGTGGTGGAGCCACTGACAAGGTGCCCATGCTGCTGTCAATAACCTCACGTGTGCTTCTGTAAGTAGCCCTGACACAACTCATTGGGTCACAAGAAAAGAAAGAAGAAAAAGGTAGGAGGGGAGGTGGGGGAGGGAGAGGGAGAAGAAACTTTGGTTGGGATGTAAAAACAAAAAAAAATGAATAAATAAATAGATGAAACCAAAAAGAGAAGAAAAAAAAGGAGAAAAAAGGGAAATGAAAATGTAAGAGGAGACTAGCTAGGAGTAGTGAGTGTATCAGGAAGACTGGTAGGAGGGCAGGAGAGGGTGGTAGGCGTGAAAATGATCAAAATACAATATATGCATTTATGAAATTGACAAAATATAAAGTTTAAAAGGAGGCACAGTTCCAAAGTATCCTTAAAAATGAACAGCATCAGATGTTCAGGGGAGTGGACTGCCCCAATCACAAGGGCCTCATGTTTATAACTCCATGGGGCAGTTGTAGGGGTAGGAGTGGGGGCTCCTATGCAGCCAGGGGACATCAGGTCTCTGGCATGTGGCTGCTGCAGCTTCTTAGACCCAGGGCCAACCCTGAAAGGGGCGGGAGTCCGGATCCAGGGGCCTGAAGTGTTGACTACAATCAACTTGGTACATTTTTGCTTCTTCATTATACTTTTGAGGGAAATGCTAACTCACGAAGAGGAAAGAGAGAAAATGGGAACTCATCCCAAACCTGAAACATCATCCATTGTAATTGTGGAAGAGCCCCGAGCATGGACACTTGTGGCTGTTCTAGTCCTGGCTTTGTGGTGGGGGACTGGGAAGTCACCCACCTTCACCGCATTGTCAAGATGTGGGCAGCAATCCCATCCCCCTCGGTAGTAACCCCAACGATGAAGGAACAGAAACAGACAGATCCTGGGAATGCCAGTCAGTGAGCCTAGCCAAAATGGTGAGCTTTGTGTTCAGAAAGAGACCCTGTCTCAAAACCTCAGGCGGACAAAAGACACGGCATCCTCTTCTAACTTGTGCATGCGTGCTCATGGACACACACACACACACACACACACACACACACACCCCTGCATGTACACACAAAAAATAATAATGAATAAATATATAAAATTTGTGATTTGCTGTTATTGATTACTTTTTTCTCTATATATATTCTCATGCCTACATAATTTTACATTCATAATTTCCTGTGCTTTTTCCTAAAGATGACACCAAAAACTATAGCCGCGCCAGGCCGTTCGAAACTGGCTATCTGTTCTCAGGACTAGGTGCTAAGAAAATGTCAAAAGCAGGAAGGAAGTGTACAGAAAGGTCAAGAGGTTCCTCAGAGAGGAATTCCCAGGGAGCGACTTGCAGCCCCTGCCCCTCTCCACATTGTGAGAGTTGAGACCCCACACACACACTTTCCTGTGAACAGTCACGTTGATTCATTTTGAGTTTAACGAGGGCTGTCTATCTATGTTTGGAGCTGTCCGTTGGAACCCAGTGGACTCTGCAGTGGATAGACAACTGACAACAATGACTACTCTCTCCCAGGAGCTATCAATCATCAACAGTTCAGCAGGAAAAGGCAAAGCCCTGTGAGCTCTCCTGCCATCCATGACCTCGTGTTGACAGGGCCGGTCTTGTATAAATGGTTCAGGAAACATCAGTTAGTGTAAGTTTGAGAGTGTAATGGTTGTGTTGAATCTAGAGAATGTGATCTCACAGTCCTTTATATCTTCCAGATCACACAGACTTTCAGGACCCTCATTTATAAAGTTTCCTGAGCCTTAGGGATTTCTATTAACTAATTTAATGTGTCAATTTAACTGGGTTAGGGATGCCCAGATAGTCAGCCAGAGTGTATCTGTGAGAGTGTTTCTGGAAAAACTTGGTAATGGATCAGCAGACAGAGCAAAGACATTGCCCCTCACCAGGACGGTGTCAACTCATCCATGGAAAATCTACACAGCACAAAAGACAATGGAAGGGTGAATTTGATCTTTTTCTCCCCTTAGGCTGGGATGCCCATCAACATCTCTGTGTTCCTGGTTCTCCAGGTTTCAGACTCATCATGGTACTTAAGCCGCAGATCCCAGCCTCCACTCATAGCCCAAAATACCACGTTTAGACTCAGTCCAGTTACATCACATCACCCCAGGTCTCCCCAGATCCTCTGCTCAAATGGTCCTATGCCTCTTCCTGAGTCTGCCTCACTTTCCCAGTCCTGCCTGTGAAAGCTAACAGTGAGAAACGTGAGCCCTGGGCCTAAGATGGCCAGGGGTAGCTGTTGGGGGACTCTGTTCTTGCCATGTGGAACCTGGATGTCCAAGCCAGAGTGTCCACGTTCACTCATGGGAGACCACTTGCAATCTGGACCAAAGGCTGAGGTAGGAAGAGAAGGAGGAAGGCCGTGGGCTGGAGGCTGGCCGCTGCACTGCCTGGTTCCATGCTGAGCTGCAGAGTGGAAGAAATCTAAGCTCAACTCGGGCCTTCCAAATAGGATGATGGGTTCATGGTTCAGCTCAGTTTGCCTGCCTGATTTAACATTTTCTAACATCTACTCATGGAGTGTCTGAGTCTTCAGGGGCTTATTCTTATCAAGGGCCTCTAGGGGCAGACCTGATGTGAGGGGGGGGCACCCTCGAGAGAGAGAGCTGCAAGGGCTGAGGAGACGGCTCAGTCCAAAGTATGTTTCTTATACAAGCATAAAGACCTGAATTCAGCCCCTCCCATAAAAAAAAGTCTGGGTGCAGTGAGACACACTTGTAATCCCAGCACTGAGAGGCAAAGACAAGTGGATCCCTGGGGCCTGATGGCCAGCCAGGCTAGCCTGCTTAGAGGGATCCAGGCCACTGAGAGACCCTGTCTCAAAACATACAATAAATGGCTACCAAGAAACAACACCTGAAGTTGTTCTTGGACCACCCCGCTCCACCACACATACATATATATGCATGTTCATCAGGACATTCATGTAGAATCAAATGAACATGCACATAAACACACATGAGAGAGAGAGAGAGAGAGAGAGAGAGAGAGAGAGAGAGAGAGAGAGAGAGAGAGAGGATCCCTGTAGCATTTGAGTCTGTGGTTCATCATGTCCCCTGCATTTCTCTTAGCTTCTAAGCGAGGAAAGAACATATTTTCCCCCTAAGTTAATATGGAATTTTGTTACCTTCAACCAAGCATCCTGGTTCATCACTTACTCCTCCCTCCAACCAGCTTCCTGTTCATCCCAGCAGCATCCAAGCAGACCCCACTGATACCATGGCAAATAGAACTCAAAATCCATGGAGAGCAATTTCACCTACCTGACCCCCAGAAACACTTGCAGGAGGGTGCAGATGCCCGAGACGAAGAAAATGGTGCTGATGAGGTAGCTTTGGGTCAGGGGGTCATGCTGCAGGCACAGGTCCTTGGCCAGAATGAGCGGCACAGCCACAAGGCCCCCCAGGGCTGTGAGGAAGTGCTGTGGACAGAGCAGAAGGAGGTGGGCATGGGGACACTGCCATCTGCATCTTCATCCTCCAAGGCAGAAGTGCATCCTCCCCAGGGAAGCTCTCCCAAAGCCAGGAGTGAAAACTCTGCCACTGGTCCCTGAGAGACTGACAGTGAGCAATATGTATTAGGAAGTTCTATCCTAAGAAGCTGAGACCCAGCACAAGACCATTGAACTGGGAACTGATGCCCTGAGAAAGAAACTAAGACAGGGACACAGGCTCAGGGGGATAAAACAGGACCAAGAATAAGATCACAGCAAGGGTGGTTATGAGCAAGGAAGACCCCAGTGTGAGCTTAGAGCTATTGGCCAAAAGCTCATTGAGTTCCACCTGTCAGGACAGAACAGACCCAGAGTTCAGAACAGGTTAGAAGTCATAGCATGCAGCCTCAGCTACCAAGGGGATAAATTGGATGGATGTAGGTTATAGACAAACAGGAGACAGATAGCAATTAATACGGTACAGGAAGGAGCCACTATTTCACACACTCTGGTCTCAGAACGGCCAGTCTGATGGGGTCTGGGGAACTGCTCACTCATGGGCTGCAGCTAGTTCTGTTTGGAGTCATACCAAGGGTCTTGGCTGTTGGTCCAATCCCACACAAATTAGACCCTTTGTATGTATCTATGTCTCCTCCCCCTCCTCCTCCTTCTCCTCCTCCTCCAAGGGATCGAGGGCTCCACATCTTCTAGTCATATAGGTGGACAAGAGGGTAGCGGGCAGGAAATCAACTGCCAGGGCTTCTTTATGGGGCAGGCCCAGCTCTTGTCACCACATTGAGCGATGTCTGAAAGGGACCCGTCAACCAATGGATTAGACACAGATTAATCCCCTCAATGAATGTTCTGGAATAATCCAAACAACATGACCAGCACTGCTCTTGGACAGATGGGGTGGGGGTGTAGGGAAGCAGGGGAGACTTTAAACCCCCTGACAGCTTGTACGAACCAATGATGACCAAAGATGGCTTGGCTGCTCCCAAGGAAGGCAACAGAGTTTTTAGGAAAGAAAGCATGAGTATTTCAAGGCACATTCTTATGATCTCCCATTTCTCCCGTGATCCCTTGGAAAATAGCACAAGTTTAATCCTTTACAACCCTTTTTTGCTGAGACTGTGTACTGAACACAGGGCCTCACATATCAGGCAAATATAGAACGTCTAAGCTACAGCCCCCACACCCCATCCTCGATAGCATCTTACACACGCTTCTTTGGCCTGCACACTAGTTAGGCTAATAGAAGCCACAGCATTCTCCAGGCCTAGAATCCACCTGGGTTTCCTTTCTCACTGACTGTCTAGTAACAGTGATGAACAGCACTTATCAGGGCTAACTCCTTCCTGTTATCCAATAATCCTCTTGATCCTGGAGTAGCAGACCATGAAAACTGAAACAGAGAGAGAGAGAGATACTGCTGACGGAGCCGCCTCTGCGGAAGGTGCTTAGCTGGTGCCGCTCTGCCTTCTCAGGGGCCTCACCTAAGTGAAGTGGACCTTCAACCAAGCCAGTTGCCCCCACTCTGGTGAGTCACTTCAGAAGGGTTCAGCATCTTTTTCTAAAAGCCAACACCCATCCTCACACGCTGAGGGAGAGATCCGGGATTGATGCGGAAGCTACGGCAGCTGCTGAGATTGATGCTGACTAATTAGATCGGTGGTTGGTTGATACAGAACTTCCTTGGACCCACTGCTGGCTGGGTCATCTTACCTGGATCCCCAAGAAGATGCAGAGATACCATGGTGGTCTGTCCAGGATGCCATAGGCTAGATGACTGCTGCTAGGGTCCTTCTGCCTATCCTGCTTCTTGCCTTGTCCTTGAGTGTGGGGGCTGAGCACATCGTCGCCCCTCTGCGGAGACAAGAAAAGACCATGTGTGAGCCCTCCAGGAGGAAATAACTAGACTTCCTGACTTCAGCTGCGTGGTGGGACACCGTTCCAGACACAAGAGGTCTAGGACAGGCATCAGCGGGGCTAGTCAGCTGGGCAATACAGAGACAGAGAAAAAAGAACAGTGTCACCTTGTCCCCTACATCAGGCATCTGTGTTAAAGACTCTTAAGTCTTGGACTGTGGAAGGGGAGGGAGTTGACCCAAAGCCTTGGCAGAGAGACAGCTTTGCCAGGGAGCAGATGGGAACATGCCTTCAAGTCAAAAAATAGGTGGATTTCCTTTCAGGAACTGAGGGTAGTCCCAGCCCCTATGTCTGAAGACACCACACACTTAGGACACAGGACTCAGAGGACTTCGGCTGGATCTCACCTGAAAGCCTCTTTCCTACGATCTGGCCTTCATGTTTCCAGAAAATACTATGCAAGCTTAGAAGGGAGGGAAGCGATTACACAGTACCCAGCTGCATCATCTATGAACCATGACAATGACCAGCATGGCAAGACACCCATAAAGGTGGCATCCACATGCCAGAGGCAACCAACAGCTGTTTAATTGGACTTAAGGCCCATATAACAGGAGAGGAATTGTTCCTGCTACCAGAAGCCTAGCCAGCTTCCCAGGGCTAGTGAGATCATGGACATTAGAAAAAACCCAAACCTACTACTGTACCATCATTTCACTAGACCAGCATAGCTCCTTATTCTAAATCTTCTCCTTATACCACAGATAAGTGTAGCTACCACTCCTTGTCCAAGAGGCCTCTTTTTATAGCAAATGGAGGCCATCCCAGACAGTCATAACTGGACACAAGGCAGAGATCAACAGACTATGCAGAGCCCAGATCCCACGGACACGTCTGTATCACAGCTCCTCATCTATGGCTCAGGGAACATCAGGGAAGAAGGAGCAGAAAAATGATAATAGCCTTGCTTTTCTTTATCACACCAGCTTGTTCTGCAGTCCCTGCCATCAATGTGAATTGAATGAAAATAACAGATTAATGCAAACGGTTATTAACAGAATAACCTGGAGCCAATAGCCAATTTGCATTCCTACAATTTAACCAACAATTAACTTGGAATTATAGGTTTTTATTCCAACTTATCGACTGTATTGCTTATTCACCGTGGGCAAATTAATAATATTTCTGTCTCCATGTTCTTATCTATATAAATAAATCTAAGTAGTTGAGAAAACTACTTAGTAGCACAAAACACACAGTCCAGGGCTTGACACAGCCCAACTGTCCAATAACTATTAACTGTTGTGTTCACCATGACCATCCATAAAAGGCAGGGCTGACACATGCTTATGGCTGACACTGAGACACCTGGTTGGAGGTCGAGGAACCTGGAAACATCGTCTCTGGTGTGGCCAGAGGTAGCAAAGCTACTAGCATGAGGATAAAGTCATTCTAGCTGATAGGTCCCTGGGCCCTGGTCAGACCACGGAGTGCAGGGGGGTGCAGGAGCTATGCAATGGCACAGCCAGGACTGCCCTAAGGGTGGTATGGGCAGCCAGAGACAGTCCCGCAAAGGTTATTGAGGTCACTTCCTCCAAGTCCACCTTCACACCTGAGTATCCCACACTGCAGCCCCACCGCAGGGAACATCCCTGAGCAGTGGCAGCTCATGACCTCATGGACCGGCGTTAATCACATTGACCCTGTATGTTCCTTCCTTTGCAGGGAAAATATTTAAAATATTTGCGGATTAGCTCAGTAGGAAAGTGAGTCGTGTTAAATTCCCTCAAAGTGCATTTTTCATCTGAGTCTTTATTTAGCAACACTGGAGATCAAACCCAGAGCCTACCGGTCAAACCTAGAGCCTCCTCCGTGCTAGGTACACTCTGAACTACACCCCTAGCCCTTTACATCTCATTTTAAAACAAGTGAAAACATCTTCATGAGCTTCTAGAATACCAAGGACTGGAGCACTGTGTGTTCTCTACCTAAGGGATCAGTGGCTCCACTCCAGAGAAGTGTGAGATGGTGGGTTGCAGCTTGATTAGATGTGGAGGGTGAGAACAATATCAGATCAAGAACTGTGTAGCTGTCTTAAACCTTCTGAAACGCCATCCCTATGGAACAGTATCCAGTATGCCTTGCTCCCATTACTGGAAGTCTCTCTTCCCAAGGTTTCAGTTATCCAAGGCCAGCCATAGCTTGAAAATATTAAATGAAAAATTCCAAAAAGAAACATGTTCATAAGCTTTACCTTTTAAATTCTTATTTTATCGTTTTTAAGTGTGTGTGTGTGTGTGTGTGTGTGTGTGTGTGTGTGTGTGTGTGCATATACATGAATATAAGTGCCCATGGAGGCCAGATAAGAGTGTCAGCCTGCCTGGAACTGGAGACACGGGATTGTAAGCTATCCAACAGAGGTACTAAGAACTGAACTTGGGTCCCTCTGCGAGAACAGTACACCCTTAGCCCCGGAGCTTCCTCTCCAGTCCTAAGCTTTATATTTTAAACTGTGCCATTTTGAGCAGTGAGATGGGATACTACTACACAGACCTACCCACCCTGCCTGGGAAGGGAATTATCCTTTAGTCTAGCATACCCGTGCTATATGTGTTACCTTCTGGTCACTCTCGGATTAGTTGTTCTGGATATCAGACCAACTGCCTCAGAATCACAGGACTTGGAGTCAAGCAGCCCTTATTTTACTCAGTTAGGACTCCAACATGCAAGAGTAGTATGTGAAGGAGCACGGAAATACATATTGATACCATGAGGTGGCATTGTACAGTGGACAGGAGAAAGTACACACACACACACACACACACACACACACACACACACACACACACCACAAATATATGTTTAGATGTGTGTTTATAGAGAGAAACGATACAGTTCAGCACTACCTGAAGTGTCAGGAAGGACTCTACAGGGGTCTTAGAAAGCACCTCCACAAATAACAGGGACTATTGTTTTCTCAGTGAGGTCTTGCAATCTCTGCACTACTGACACTTTGGACTGGAGAATTCTTTGTGAGCCCTGTGGGGTGGGGGCTGGAGGTGGCTGACCTATGCACTGTATGATGTTCAGTACCATTCCTGGCCCCTCCTCTCTCCTAGCCCTGATGACCCAACATATCTCTGGATGTTGCCAATGACTCATAGGGGCCAACTCACGCGCTGGCCATTGCTGTAGGAGCAGTAACCACATTCCCCTAGAGAGCTCGAACTTAGGAGAAGTGCTGGCTGGAGAGGATGGGGATGTGGAGAGAGAAGCCACACTGCATCCCCGGAGGTGCAGGAAGTCAGTCCCTCCACAGGGGTAGAATGCAAATACTCAACCTAATTCCTTCCTGGTGTATACCCATGTATACCAGTGCTAATGAAGAAAGCCCGGTGCGGCACATTGCGGGAGGGAGCCATGAACCAGCTTCATACTTCCTGATACGGAGTCTACTGAGCTCGCCTCAGCTCTGCTCTGCGGAACTATTTTGTTCCCATGTAAAACATTTGTTCGTAAATCTTCTACCACTAGATTCTAAAACAAAAACCTAAGAGCCTTGCTTCATTCTAGAACATTGTTGGCGTTCCTTGAGCTGATAAAGCAGGTGGACAAATACATTAAGGAATGACTATGAAAGTCATCTAAGGGTGGGTTTTGTGCGCGTGCGCGTGTGTTGCTTTTAAATCTCTGCCCTTACGTATTTAGAGAACTTTTGAAATCTCATATCTGTCCAACTGTATTGACACTGCTTGGTCCTTGGGTTGCACATGGAAGAAATCTGTCCTTCTTCAAGGGTCAAAGCTGGACTAAAGAAAGAGAAGCTGCTGGAGGAAGTGCTGGCCTCTGGGCACATCTGGTGAGGATTTAGTGAAGTTGTGAAAGAACCTGTGAGGGCGTGCCGCTGAGAAAGGAACCCTAGGAAAGAGGAGGCAGAAGGAGAGAGCCTGTGGGTGACTGGTTGACTGATCCTGGGTGCGAAACTCAGAGAAAGAAACACAAACAGAGAAGTGCTGGGCACATGCAGCCTGTCACTCCCAGCATGACTGACCACCCCAGGCTCTGTTTTCCCAGCTAGCATCTAGGACACTCCTGGGGTGTGTGGTGTGGGGGGCCTTGCATGGCCTATGAGGGAATGAGCTCTCAGTCTGTGATACTTCAGTTCTGTGGCTTAGCCAGCAGATTCACCACGCAGCCTTTCCAGGATCTCTGGGACTCCCTGGAAGGTGAAGGGACGGCAGACCCTGTGAGACACTGTGACAGGCTGGGAGCCAATGTCAAAGACTGCCAGTCTGCGGTCCTCGAAATTGTCTGAATTCTTTATGTCCACACGGGTCACCTCGCAGTTACAGAAACCGCTTCTGTACTTGCTTCAAAACAGTCATGTGAGAAGCTGATCCTGCACGAGAAACCACATTTTTAAAAATAAGAACTTACGGGTTGGAGAGATGACTCAGCAGTTAAGAGCACTGGCTGCTCTTCCATTAGGACCCAGGTTCAATTCCCAGCACCCACAGGGCAGTTCACAACTGTCTGTAACTCTAGTTCCAGTGGATCTGACTCCCTCACAAAGACATGCATGCAGGTCAAACATCAGTGCACTTTTTTTAATTACTTAAAAAGAAGAGCTTAGAGTCTAGGAGAATGCCCTCCCTGAGGACAGCTTCTTAGTCCCTCGTGATAGCGTCTGGGACTTGCATGGAGCCCTGAGACTTGCAAGGTCGGTACAAAGTGGAGCCCAAGACAACACTTTGACCTCAGCAACAGCCTT